CGGCGACACGCTATCGCGTACGCCGCGGTGTGTTTACACGATTTTACGATAATAACGATAACGATAACGATAACGGTAATTACGTAGTTTGCCGGCGCGTCTTCGGACGGCGGCCCGTGCGTGTCTGCCGCGCGCGGTGCCCGACCGCCGTTTTCAGCGGCGTGCGGGCGCGGGTTCCCGGGGCGGGGCGCTCCGCGGAACGTCGTCGCGGCCGGTTCGGCGGGACGGACGGGCGCGCGAACGGCGAGACGCCTCGGCGGCTGTCCGGCGCTCGTCGGCACATCCGTGTCCGAGTGACGTTTGAAAAAAGACACCGCGGGACGCGATTCGAGCGTGTCCGTATCCGGACGGGTAATGTCGAGAGCCCCGAACGCGGATCGACGAACAGGATCGAAACGAATGCCCACCGGGCAATTCCGTGTTCCACACGTACGCGAACGATTGTGCGTTTGTAAATGGAACGGCACGTTTAAAGTCGACGTAACGTACGCATTGTGAATGTAATTGTAATGTGCATGTCCGATCAGCTAACGCGTGTCGCCGGTCTATCGGGCCGTCGTCTTTGTAGATAATGAAAAAAAAAAAAAAAAAAACATTTATTATGTATTCCAATTGAATGTTTGTGTATCATGACAATTAAACAACTCAACAATATTTCCAAACAACAAACAAATATAAAATACGATAAAAAAAAAAAAAAAAAAACGTAAAACGTTATTTTTACTATCGCACCAGTGTTAAATGATAAACATCGACATAATGTCACTCGTACGCAATTAAGGAACTATTTTTGGAGAACAACCGAATGTCATTGCGCTCTTGTGAATTGGTAATGTTTTTTTGTTGAAACACGAATTCAATTTGAATTGGGAATATTTTTATTTGAAGACGAATTCAACGTAACGGCAAAAGGCTTGTAACGTCCGTTGCACAATATGCACACCGGGAACGTTACAGCCCGTTATGATGCGGGGTGTTGCTTTCGATCCGGGTTATTGTGTCATTTTATTTGTAAATTTAGCCGTGGGACAAATTTTATTAGTTTTTCAAAAATAAATGTAGAAAAATCAATAAAATAAACTTAAACGCGACCGTTTAACCGTTTATTTCAAAAACACGAGTACGACAGATTTGGCTGTGAATTGCGTACACACACGCAAGTAAACATTCCATTTTCGTTTTTATCACCCGATATAAAGTCGCCTACCTATAAATTATAAAGAATACTCGTAGGTACCTGTTTCAAATTTTAGACGGTACAATATGAGTTTACCGACAAAGTTTCTCTGAACTAAAGTTGAGGAATTGTAAATCACTCGAAAACCCTGGCATATTTGTTGTTAAGAGCCATATTACATTGAGCCGATTGTCAATAGATCCGACATCGCACATTCGTATTATACAGAATCTGAACGCACTATAATAATAATAATGAAAATTAGCTGATTATCTCAAAAAAAAACAGCGCAGCCGGATTGGACTAATTTAGAACCGACAAAAAAAAAAAAAAATGTTCCTGAAACGTAATTAAGCAATGGAATCGTGCACACGGTGCCGAATATTAAGCGAGATCGAAGCTTGCAAGTAAAACTTATAAAGACTATCGCACGAAAAAAAAAAAATGATAACCAGTAAATTATACTTATGATATTTATTTATTTACTAATGTTTACATGTTAGTGCATGTAGACGGTTATGGTTATAAAATATTTAGGCAATATAGTTGCGATTAGACGATCGAAATTTACCGTAAATATTTATTATTAAACCCGCCGGAAAAACGGCAAAGTACGTAACTACGATAAACATTTATACGATTTTCTAATCATAAGAACATCGACGACGATCATCATCAACATCAACATCTGCGCGACGACGATTCAAAAATACGCTGAAAATAAAAATATGAAATAAAAATGTGTCACTTTTTAGTTGGTTGGTTGTAGGGGTCCATAATGAGAAAACTGAGTAAAACAGACGTCTTAGGATGACGGGGACGGCCACTGTTGTAGTTAATTTGACGTATACTTGTAAGCAACGATTCTGAGCGGAGTTCAATTGATAGTGATGCTTTGCCAACAATATACGTGTCATATTGTGCATTATAATACAATTATTATATCTCCTACAATGATATTTGTATAATGTGCCGGTTTTCCCGTTTTTACTACCGCGTTAGTAGATAAAACCCCTGGGAAAATCGTAAAATTACATCCTTAAAATACCTTCCCGGTCGGATTTCTGTTCAGAAAAAACGCTATTATTTTAAATCGGAGCCCGATTGCTGGTAGAAAAGTTACGCACGGATAAAAAAAAAAAAAAAATAAACATCTTTGTAATACCACAAGGTTCTTCGCTCCAATCAGAACCTAAAACTACGGAATACCGATGCTGTTTAGAGGCGTTAAGTGAGACCGACACTGTAGGCAAAAGAGCGTCTATAATGCGCTGAAGACCGGGTTTGGAAAATCGCCGAAGGCTTTAAACGGGAACGGAAAAGCAGCTACCCGGTGGGCAATAAAATTAAAACACGAATCGCTTTTGCCGGGCCGAGGCTGAATATTTTTAACAATCGATTTAATCACATTAACAAACGCCACAAATCTCATAACTGTAGAAACGAGTCCGCGCGGTTTTTAAATTTTAAATTTCCACACGGGTACTCGTCGCACTTAATTTCGAACAATTTTTTAATTATTTATTTATTAATTTTTTTTTTCTTTGTTCCCGTTACGATCGCCCCAGTAGTTGTAGAAAAAAAAAAAAAAAAAACGACACGACGCGGGGCGTAGTAGTGGGAATACTGCTATAATATTAAACCGACGAGGAAAAGACCTCCGGCTATACCGTTTTTTTTTTTTTTTTTTTTTTTTAATACCCGTCTAATTTTTTAGAATTAATATTATAATATAGGCTTCGTCGTTTAGCTTTTCTCCCTTACATTATTATTTACAAAATACGGAATTCGTTATACTTACGCTTTTTTCCGCACTATGAAATAGGTATAATGAGGGGGGAGGGAGTGTATGCGACGGAGCGAACGGCGGCGGCGGCGCGACGACGACGAACTATGTTGTTATTATTACGCCGTGTATTTTTTAATATTTTTCATAATTAAGTTTTTTTTTTTTTTTTTTTCATGTTTAATAAGGACGTATATTTTATTATTATTATTATTATTATTGTTTTTATTACGACGGGGCCGAGACTCGCCGCTCGGACGTCGAAATTTTCGATTAGCGCTGTCGGCGACGACGACGCGACGTTCCAACGATAATAACAGTACGTAGTGGCGATGTCGTGTCGAAAGGAACTCGTCAACACCGCGCCAGAACTCGCGTGATGAAACGGTTTGGGAACCGCGTGCAATTTATCAGACGGTTTTTTTTTTTTTTTTTTTTTTCATCCGCACGTAACCCCGTGTCATTTTCCCGGGCGATTCACCAAACGCTACTACGGCGACGCGGCTGAACGGCAGTTCGGTATTATTGCCGGAGTTCGATTTTTTATGCAAAAGACAATATTGTAAGGCGCAATTTTACGCGGCCGACACCGAACACGTCGACTACGAACGGTTGATGGCAAATAAATTGCCTTTTTCTTTTTCGTTCTTTATTCTTCCGTCCTTCTCTGTTATCGGCTGTAAAACGTAGGTCGTTTTTTTTTTTTTTTTTTTTTAAATATGCATCGCGTTTTTGTCGAATTCTCATTCGTCCCTCCCCTGAACACCGACACTGTGTTCCGCACGCGCGTTTTTTGTATTTCGGGGAACAACACGTCGTCGGTTCTCGTTAACGTAAAAACTACGCGACATTATTACGATGATCAATGTACTCGTGATTGTGCAAATTGTATGAACCGAATGCATTGTACTCGTTTTATATTTTGTACAAATAATCGTAGCTACAGAGGAGCCGGGGTTCACGTACTCGTTATCCCCCATAAATAAAGATGGAGGGGGGCGTCAGCACTTTCCCTCGAAACGTCTAGGATAAAGTGGTTTTAAATAAAAATCGTTGAAAGTTCCGGGACCCGGGAACGGTATTTATGGCAAACAAAAAGCTTTTAACTTCCCCCGCCCCGAAAAAAAATCTTCGTATTCACGCTAGGGACTTAATGTCCTGTGTAAAGGTCTGTTTACACGTATCGGTGAAATGACGGTGCCGCGATTTCGCATTGATTTCTGTTGAACAATAACGGACAAACGTTTGTCCAGTCGTGTTTCGTCTGCCATTGAATAGTGAGTTCGAGTGGTCAACATGGCGATGTTTTCGGAGGACGGACTCTTGAAGATCGTCATTGAATCGCTGACGAATAAAAGGGAGAAAAAGTAATAAAAACCCGGACACGAGTACATCGGACACGGCAAAACAGAAAGTGCGTTTTTCACTCGATACGAAAAATTCGGAAAATCCGTTCATCGCTGTTCGTTTTATTTTTGATGCTATTCCACCACATCGCCGCAAATTACCGTCGATAGCTCCGACGTACGCCGGTTATTTCACGGTGAATTCAAAACTATCATATAAATGCAAGACGCAAAGAAGAGCTGTCGAAAGCGAGAACAATAAGGACATCATGATAATGGGGGCGGGTGCAGCCACTGTTATAGATAATTTAATGTATATCAGCGACGATCAACATTTTCTAACGAAAAAGGCGATTTTGAGCGGAGTTCAATTGTTTAGTCAGTTGTGTTGTCAACAATATATATTATTCTATAACACGGTGAAATAATTACACCGGCAATTTATATTTTCTTTAAAAATATTTGTTCAATATTGTACCTATTTTCCCGTTTTTCATCAGTTTTTCGCATTTGTTGAGAAAATCGCAAGTTTTCCTTTCAGAAAAGGCACTACATTCATAAATCGGAGCAAGATTTCTGGTAGAAATTTAGCGCAGATAAAAAAAAAAAAAAATAATAAACATCTTTGTAAAAACATAGGCTCATTCGCGCCACCCGGAATCTAAAATGGTTTAAATTCGAAAATTTGAGAGTGCTTTAGAGTTTCCGCGGCTGCAACCCCGAACAAAAAGCGCCGTTAATCCTAAGGTTTCGCCGTACGAAACGGTGTACGAAACTCGGGCGCGAACGATCGTCCTTTGTTCGATTTGGATATCCAAAAGTAGACGCGTCGGCGGGAAACGCACCTGCAGTGAATAGAAACCCTAATGTAGTGATGACGGTAAACTTTCCGTTCCGTATATGACGCGGACGATATTCACGACCCCGTGCAAATAACAATACAAACATCACTTATACGAATATAGGGCGCCTAATAAATATTACACACGTACGTGTATAACGAGTATGTTTCAGACGGCGTTTGGAAGGAATGCGAGTTCCAAAAGGAACGGACTCCTGGAACGAATTCCTGTTTAAAGAACGGTACATTGAACTGATTGCTTTTTATAGAAAAAAAACGTGGTTGTTTTGTCGAGCAAAAGGTACGAAATCAGGTCCTGGATCAAATTTCACTTTTTTCAAAAAGCAAAAAAAAAAAAAAAAAAAAATGTTTTGCAAAAGAAAACAGCGAAACGGTTTTTAACGGCATTTATTATAGAGAACAATAATATTGATCGCGCACGCAATAACACATGCACACAGTGTACACTGAACGCGCGTTGAATTTCGTACGCCCTTTCAACAAAATATTGTTGATTTAATTATATTTTATAAGGGCGCCTGGATGTCGTTTAGTCGGCATTACCGACTTTTAACAAGCCACCGTCGATAAACGCGTAGAACAATAAGATTGATATTCTTATGATGCCGGTCGGGATCGAAGTTTATTATAGTGAAAATCATAATTCATACCGTTACGGGCGTGACATTGATGAGAGTTTCAACGCATTAAATAAGTGTGAAACATAATGAAATGTCAAACGTTGAAATGTACGGGATACGGAAATTGACGTGATTTTCAAGCTGTGAATTAAATATACGATTGAGAATCATACGGTATTATAATATTACAAACATAACACGGCGATCAGAGCGTAATTGAAAAACATTCGACCGCACGGTTAATTATCGCGCATACAAAACACTAGAGTCGAATATACGTTTCAAATTATTGATAACGCGTTAAACAAATTACGGAGTCTAAGTGGTACGCTATTTTTATCCGTTGGAAACTAAAAAAAAAAAAAACAAGGAACGGAACGGAATGCCCTTTTTATAAGGAACATGCCGAATAGCGATTTCAGAGACCGATCCTCCGGGAATCGGTGTGTTCCCGGCGGCGGCGTGGCCGGAGGGGAATTACCGTGACGGTGGCTCGCGATTGGACGCACGGTAAATCGTAACCCGAGTTCCGGCATGCGTGCTGCGCTATTACTTTAGAGTTTGGACGACGCGGTCGAGTGGGCCCGACGGAATTTTATCGAGTCGATATTTTCCCGTTATCTTTCCGTCTCTCGCGCGCACGGCCGCCGTCTGGACCGCGTCCTGGTCGAGTGCCCGTCCGCGGTGCACCGTTCGCTGTTTCAATACGGCCCCGCCGATATTAACACGCGTTACCCCCTGTCCCGGCGGTCTATTAATTATCCGTAATTCGAGACCGTGAACACGACTATTGTTACTATGCCTATAAATTATATCGCGAGAGTGCAGTACTTCGGTTACTTCGCTACGGCGCTACGGGAACGGGCGGCCGTGATAGGCCGGGCCGAGGTGATCGACAACAGGACGGGATTCGAGTGACGTTTGAAGTGAACGGAATAAAAAAAAAAATAATAATAATAGAAACATCAAAAAAATCAACGGTGATCGCGAGAGTTTGAGTGAATTCAGACTTCAGAGCGGATAATATGTCATCGTTCTTCTGACGATGACGGCGTGGGAGTGAAAGAAGCGGGGCGGCGGAATATTGAACGCGCGCTTCGGATCTTGAAATACTCTCGGTGCTTTTTTTTTTTTTTTAGGAAAAAGCACATTTAAAAAATAAAAATAAATAAATAAATGTCTCGGTGTAACCACACAAATTTACTCCCCCGTGATATTATACGGCCTCCCTCGGTGTAATTCCGCTCTAGACAGATTACACTACCACTTTCGAATGTCGGTGGACGAGGGACCAAATGATGGGTATCTCTACATCGGACGGGTATGGGGAAATACAGGGCGCCCGCTTTTGGATTTCTTATTTCTTTTGCTTAAACGGACTCGATGAACTCTGTTTACGCTGAAAATGTAAGCGGTTACACGTCAACTATGCCAGCAATTACGCTAGTAACAATATGCGCTTTCATGAAAATATTATTATTTAAAAAAAAAAATTAAATAACAAAAAATAAATAAAAACGGTTGGAAACGAAAACCTTATATTTAATCTTTCAATCTTTTTTTACCTAAAGTTCGAAGTACTAAGTATCCCGAATATTAATAAGAATTTAAATAAATGACCGATCTAAGGTATCACCCGTAGAACACGTTATTTTCTTTTCGGAAAAGGTGCTATATTCGATAATCGGAGTAAGCTTTCTGTTAGAACAAATGTTCACATAAAAAAAAAAAAAAAAATATATACAACATCATTGTAAAATCAATACATTCCCCGGTCCACTCAGTATCTCAAAACTAAACGCGCAATATTTCGAGTTTCGTACTGTAGTGTGTTTTCGTTTTTCGTTTTTGCTGCGGAAATACGCCGCGGAAATTCGCATCCAATGTTAAAAATAATAGCATACCGATATTATGGACCGACCGGTGTGCGCAGCCTGCTCGGTTTATAATGTCAACTTTTTTTCCGCAGACTGAAGGGAATACAACGCTGCTTCAATATATAATATACTTACGTCCGTCCGTCCGTTGTAGAAAAAAAAAAAAAATATGTCCTTACGTCCATTACCGCGTCTGATGCTTTTTGCACTCTATACTAACGGCCGGTCACGGGGGACGTCGGTTCGTAGTGGCAAAGAGGCGGAGGTGGACGGCGAGGGCATATGACACCCGCGTTTTCCGACGCGGGTACATCGTTCGTTTAGCGGCCAGATTACTGTATGATATTACGGTTTTCGAAAAAGGCGCCGAGTATCACAAACGAAAAACGTAAGAGGCGAAAAAAAAAAACAACGTCCCCGACGACGCGGTTGAACTGCATATTATTATTACCTAACCCGTGCACTCGTACGTTCCCACGCAATGCTAAATAGCTTTGCCGATTGATGGATTTGAATTCCGTTTTCGGGAGATGGTACGGAACACCGAAATGCATGCTTGTGGATAAATTTCAAATTTTTAACGTTTTGGACGAGCGCGCGCTCAATACGAATTTCATAATTTTTTTTTGCCTATGTTTGAAACTAGATTCGAACAGTCAAAAACCGTCATTAATAACTAGTCAAAATACGCATTTTTATTCGATTTTTCATCGAGTTTTAAATATGTATGACTGTATAAATGTAAAGTGAGGACATTTGACGGCTCATAAAACTACGGGCAACATTGAATTTTGAAGTCAAACCAAGTTATTTGAACGAATATTGAATGTAATTAACTTTTGGTTTTTATTTTTTTATGTCATATTCACACGTATAACTCGTTTCTAAACAGCGATCCGAAAGACGTATTTTTTTTTTTTTTAACTTTTTCTAAGCTCATTAGTCTGCATTTCTGTAGTGAATACAATTTTTCTTTTTCCACTAACGTCATATACTTTTAAAATAAATAAATTCTTTAAATTTATTTTGAATGCGATATTATACAAAGCAAATTGCGCGTACTGCTGGGCAAATTTTTTATTCCCTACATATAACGTTTGGCCGAGTATATGCAGTTTTTGAAAACGAGATCCGTTTCGAGTGCCCGTGTTACCTAGCCGGGTCTTCATTAAAATCCACGCCACAAATGTCTATCCGCGTATAGTTGCGGTTTTTATATTTTTATTTTCTGTAGTGCGATATGCCTTCAGTAATATCCAGAACCATTTCGACAACGCGTGTGCATACATAAAATATAGAATAATGGATACGCGCGCAGCCACTGTTATAAGTTATTTAATCTCTATACCTGTATGTAACGGTAAACTATTGCTAACGAAAAGACCATTCTGAACGGAGTTCAGTTGATAGTGATATTATGTCATAAATATATTATATGTCATGGTAAAGTGCATCACAAATGCGTTATATTATAATTGTTATACTTTTATTTAATAATATTTGTTCAATTCACCGATTTTCTAAATGAAAATTTCACTAGAAAGGTAGGTGTATTAGAGAGGTCATTATTTAATTTTCCCAAGAGTTTTCCCAGCACCGGTATAAACCGGGGTAAAACATGGGAAAACTCTTGGGAAAATTAAATAATGACCTCTCTAATATACCTACCTTTCTAGTGAAATTTTCTTTTAGAAACATCGCTATCATTAAAAGTTTGTGTAAAATCTCCGGTTGAAAAGTTGTACACCGAAAAAAAGAAAGGCATAATATATTTTAACTAATACCTGCATTTCTTATATTTTCCCAATTTTTTTTTCGGTTTTTTTTAAATTTGATTGGAAAACTCTTGAGAAAATCAAAAAAAATAACTTAAAGTTCCATCCCCCATCGATAATAAAAATAAAAAAATAAACATCTTTATAAACCTTAAGCTAATTCGCTCCACTCAGAAAACTGTTAAAACCGTAGACAAAACGGGAACTTTTGCCCAATTACAGTTTCGGTATTGTTTTGTTTTTTTTTTTTTATTATTCGGTTAAAAACGATATTGTATGCTCAACATAACGAATAACATGCAATTTTCACAAGACACTAGTACATTTCTAGGCGTGGTAATTTTTCAAAATTCAGTTCGTCACTTTTTGAGCTATTTTTGTAAGGATATACTCTCTCGAGGTAACATTTTTAGTTTTTTTTTTGGTTTCATGTGTTCTGGCGATCGGAAACGCTCGACAATTTAACACGAGACCCATTCGTAAGTTGTACGCAGCGTGACGGATGCATTTTGATTTTCGTTCAAAACCGTCCGATTGATATTTCGGCGAAAACCGCGTTGGCCGTTGGCGGCGACGCACGGAACGCCGAATCGTTTTTCGTTCCGGCGACGGTTCAACACGGTCGGTTACGCACAGAAATCAAACGGCATTGTTTTTTCCCGAACCGCCGAATTTTCCACCCCTACCGTACAGCGGGCCGCGGTCCCCGGTATCCGGCGTTGTTTGTTTTTTTTTTTTCGGTTTTTTTCCTCTTGCAAACGTTTCAAACGCGCTTTCCCCCCCACCCCCGCCCCCCCCCGTGTGCCCACAACGTACATAATAACGATGATAATAACAATTTCGATATATCGATAACAACGCGTACGGGAGCAATTCCAATATTTACCGTGCGCCGGGTTTCGGATCGATTGCTAATTGGGCACTTGTAAAGCAATTACGTCGGCCGGCGGACGGTTGCGCGCGTTTGTCCGGATCAGCATTAACATTGTTCAACAACAGTCGCTCGGCTGCGGCGTGCGGCGTAACGGGCGCCCGGAAACGCCGACGGAAACTGCTTGCGTGGTCGACTTCGAACTGCGCCGCCGTCGCGGTCGGTGTTCCGCGATAATAACAATTACGTATCCGAAATGCCCGTGTATGAAACACGCGCCGTGCCCGTAAGTACTACACGCGGAAATCGACGCGGCCGTCCGCGAAAAGTTTCGTGACGCGGCGCGTACGGCCGGCGGCGGTTAGACCGGTCGAGGGCGCGGGGGCCGGGCAACGCGAATACGCGATACGCGTCGGGTCCCCTCGTAATCGGGGGAGGGGGGGGGAGGGGCGCCGCGCATCGGCCGTATTGTCGTGTCGGGTTTTTTTCCGTTTTTTTTTTTTTTACACGTTATTTTTATATTGCGCGGGGCCATCGCCGAGACGCTCGCGGTGCCGCGGCCCGCGGAATCGGGCGCCCGGTGCCCGGACGGTTTACGGACGAGCGGGGGGAAAAAAAAAAAAAAAAACATTAGTAAACCTGTCCGTCGGCCGTTCACTCATAGATTCAGCGCTCGAGTTGGTAATTCGATGAAATAAAAAAAAAAAAAAAAAGAGAGGGACCATAAGACACAAAAGAAAAATATACCGTCCCTCGCAACTATTGAACGCGGCCGAACCCGTGGGGGAGCCTTCTACGCCTCCCGCTACGACTTTCAAACATAACTCGGTAGTTCGTAATTTCCGAAAACAAACGCTGTGCTTACCGCAGGCTGACTTTTGCTTGACACAGTACCTTTTTTAGTGGATATTATTTATATTCGATTTTAATACGATGGTTACTGCTGTGTATCCATTATGACGACGTGTTTGTTTAATTTCCGCGTACGGACAAATTTTCTTACGGAAATCTTGCTTCAGTTGTCGACTTTAGAGGCGACGGTTCACTAGTAAAAACCGTTGTCTCGTTAGTGAAACAACGAAGGTGTTTTCGATTTTCTTTGTGATATTCTCGATTATGAGGAAACCCCGTGAAAAAACGCCGGGAAAACTAGTAACCGTTACGTTTATTACGGTTTACGTTTTATTTCGTTAACTCAATGAAAAACAATCGTAAAGGTCCGAAATTCTACTGAATATTTATAGTACAGTCTCTTATTATATACAGCTCTCTCCCTAGACACCGGGTACCTCGTATTTTCCACTGCGTCCCATGCGCGCCTTTCTTTTTTCGTAATTATTTTACGTCGCGTTCGATCGTTTATTACAATGAACAATGTTATTTTAATTTATAAGTATGTTTCAACGATCAATTTGTCGCCCACAGCTGATATTTTTGCCCCCCCCTCCCCACACAACTAAATATACAAGTTGCCCTCAAACAAATATACTAGTTGTCTTTACCGTATGAAAATCTTGTACAAAGAGAGGAATTTTATCAAACTTGTGTACGATTACATTTACCGTGGTATTCATAAAATTGATTGCAAGTGAATCGCAATACGCGCGTTATTGCAGTCTTCGTATTTTTATTGTTATGAATAACAGTTATAGAATATAATAATATTTAGACAGTTCGATAAGTGAATTTCAACTGACAAAAATCGTTGACAAAATTTTTATTGAATACGTTTCTAAATCGATTTTACAAAACGTATGTAATTTTTCATTTTTTTTTTTTTTTTTTTTTTGCCGAAATATAGTATATTTACTTATTATTGTTATAGATGAAAATATTATCTTCATCGTAATGTGTTTGGGACTAACCGGTACAATTGTTATTATTTGACCGTGGGCAGGCAACTAATACTAAATGCGCTCCCAATACCTCCTCGACATCTCGCCCACAACATTGGCCCACCCGCGGTGTGAAGTTTGCCCGTCGGTTGTTTTTTTTTTTTTTCCGAACGTCGTTTCCCCCCGCGGGAATACGACCAGCGACGACGGAATCGCGTCCGGTTATAAATTATTTCATACATTATTGTGCGGGCGCGGGTGTTAATTTAACGGGCGCTGCGACATCGTCGAATCTCGATTCGCCCGTCTCGTGTCGTCGTGCGTCGACAAACACGACCGGCGTATTACGTACGCGGAGACGACGACGGACGCGGCGGATTCGTTTATTCCGGCACGTGTTCGACAATAACATACGACCGCGGCACGTCGACTCGACTTTAATAACGTGATAATGTTCTGTAAAACCGCTTTTTTTTTTTTTTTTTTTTTACGTAACATCATAATACGCGTACACGCAGAGAGAGAGAGAGGGAAATCGTTTAGTCTGTATACGCCGATACCGTAATGTTTTCACGGCGCCAATATTATTGTTCTCCTGTATTCAGTATACGTATTATTATTGTTATTATTATTGTTGTTGTGTATAAAAAAACTTAAGTATGTCGCCCCCAGCCGTATAAATAATCTACGGTTTTTTTTTGATTTCGACGAATCTTCGGTACGCGAAACAAGAGGACAGCGGTCGTTTACTGTGTACCAATGTAATCCCGAGGTTTAACCGGTAAAATCAAGCGCGAATCGCACGCGCGCGGGATTTTAGACATTTGAAAACGACAATACGAAAATACATTATGTACATGTATATTGTATATATTTTTCTTTACATTTCCGGAATACCTCGGCGACACGAGTTATTAGTGTATCGTTCAATTCGGTTGTCGCACGAGCGACAGGAGTACCATTTTCAAACGATCAATTAAACGAGACGCAATAAAATGCAGACTTTCAGCGGTACATTATGAAATGCGCGTATCGCTTTCTTGTAGCGAACTACCCCGGGCGATCCAATGAGTATTGCGGTATTTCGTATTTCGCGTCGTTTTCACGCCGAACAGTCCGTTTCGTGCGTATCCTACGTATTTTATAAAGCTAATTAATCGCGACCGTTCAACAGTTTTGTGGAAAAAAAAAAAAATAATAATAAAAGACGAAAAATACAAAGTACAAAATCGCAACTTGGCAGTCGGGAACGGTACGGGATGAACGTACAAATAATATTATAATCGCCGACGAGTGATACGCTTCAAATCCGTTCAATATAATTATACCTACAGGTAGTATCGTAACAAGTTTTCGAACACGTATTTAAGTTTTGATTAGCCGCCACCGCGCTCCTCCGGTTACGACGTTACCCGAGTTCGGGAATTGTTCTAGCGGTATAAAACGCATTACCTACCGATCTTCGGTTCGAAAATCGCTTATCTATATACCTACAGCTACCTAATGTTCAATAACGACTTAGTCAGTTGACCCGAAAAAGATTGAAACTACGAATAAAATTACTACCGTGGTAATAAACTATATAGTAGTTACTTTGGGCTAACCGATTGTCGTCGATAAGTACTTTGTAATTGTACCGAGAAACAATCGCTAAGTATTTTCGAGATTTAACGCGAAAAATACAATTGTTTTAATCGGCCCGGCCATACAGTCGAAATCGCTCGATACCGCGCGAGAAAACAATCCAAACGAATAGCGAAAACGAATCGGAACGAAAATTAATGTCGCAAATGTTTTTCGGGCCCGTCAAATGACGAGAAAAAAAAACGCAGAGCTACGGTTAGGTAACATTTAGGAAAAATAATATTTAAGAAATCGTCGAGACCAAAGGGGAAAGACTCGGTAAATAAAAATAAAAGCGCTGGAGTTTGAGGATTCGGCGAATCGAATCGACGGACAGAGGTAGCTGAAGACGGGACGGGCCTAAAGATTGAACGTATATAAAAAAAAAAATCCCGAACCCGACGAACTATTTACTCTCCTACACGATCATTTAGACGGGTGATGTTGTGCGACGTTTCGTGACATAATAACAAAATATTGTTTCCGGGCTACCACGGGACAACGGTTCGGCTCGGGTTGTGTTATAGGAAACGGCCGTTACGTGT